TCGTTCACTTCAAAGATCCGGCTCTAAGAGCCATTTCGTTCGCGACCGACCCATCACTAGCACCGCATCCGCATCTGCCAACGGAATGAGTCGTGACCAAAAAAACCCACAAAATTACTCTGGTAAAGATTAAAAAAAAATTAAAAATACACATCTCTCCATAACAAAATGGAGCCCGAAAGAAAAAGAAATGTTTCTGCTGTGTGGGTTCATTTTGATCTTTTAACTGCAAATAAGGTAATAGTTTGTCTGTCTTTGTTTCAGTGTAATCTATCAGAATAGGAAAAACAGCAATGTGACTTGAAGTGTAAATTATTTATTTCATTTTATGCAGGTTAAATGTCACATCTGTTCTGCGGAGCTTTCTTACACAAACAAAAGCACCTCTTCAGTGTTTAGGCATTACAGAGCCAAACATGAAAATAAGACAAACACACCGAGAATGAACACAGGTCGGCCTATATAGACACTGAACAGCTTTATCATCATTTTTTTTATTAATATGTGTTTTATTATTTTTAAATCAAGCATCTAGGAAGACTGCTCTGGACCAGGCAGTCCTGAATTTTATTATAAAGGACTGCCAACCCCTTAGTAATGTGGAGAGTGTCGGAGAGAAAAATTCCAAGATCAGAGGATGCTTTAACGTACTGAGGGAATAGAAAGACATCTTATCCGAACCTTTTCCACCTGGCTTTACAGCTTTTGTGTACCCCAGCTTCATCTGTGCCTGTGAGTTTTCCAAAGCTGGGGAAATGGTGTAAAAAAATAAATGCAATAGACTGAATGCAAAAACATTGGATAAACCTATTTTTCTGAATAGAAATTTATAATAAACTGAGTCAAATGGGTAATATTACATTCCCAATACCTTCATTTTAATGTTCACTTAATGTCATTCACAATATAAATTAAAGATGTCTACAATATTTGCAATATAAAAGATATAAAATGATTCCATGGAAAGTACAATACCTTAAAGTGTACAAGTATGACTAGGTTATTGAATCAGTGTCTGTTGTGAGTCTCAAGTAAGTGGCCTGCAATGATATTTATGGTCCAGCAGGTGTCAGTATGGAGCAAAACAGCAACACTGTGTCGTCAAAGGAAGTCACTGTGCATTGGCCGGGAAACTGTCGACACAGTATCGATACAGTTCGGGAAATGTGCTGAAACGTTTCACGAGGCCTCATCTACCCATCACAAGAAAACAGACATTCAGCTGCACTTTTTATTTCCACTCAAACCGAAAACCGCAGCTCTCTCCACCCCAACTTTTCAAACAGCAAGTGAAAGTAAACTCTAGTGATGGGCAGATGAAGCTTCATGAAGCACTGAAGCTTTTCATCCAATTGGTTCATCCCAGCGCAAAGCGTCTTGAAGCTTCATTTGCTTTAGTAGGACCTACTGGACGTAAAAATATTAGTTGGCATGAATTTGAAGAGTGTGGCATTTTGCACACAGCCTGTAAATGTCAACAACAAAAGGAGTGTGTAAAACATGTATATTGTAGTGATGCAGTATACTGTGTATATTTATACTGGCAGTATGGAAAATGATCATTTACTGTGAGGTGAGGTGTGGTTGGGGTGTGGACAGTGGTTGTGCTTTTGTAACGCTGAGGTATGGACAGCTACACACTGAGGCTTTGAGCCTCAGTCCTGCCTGTTCACATTTTATTCTGTAAAAACTAAATTTTCACTGCTGTTATGGCCTTTTTAGTGGGGAGAACATAGCTAGGATTTAATGATTTAACAAATCTTTTAAATCCTTTGTCCTCCACAATGCTAAATGGCTGGGAGTCCTCAATCACCATGCTAACCAGGTCTTCATCTATTTGAGATTGTTCTCCTGAGGAAAGACAATAAAGATAAAGCACAAATATAAATATCACACACGTAACTTATAACAGCTGTATAATATTATATCATTTAGTAACATTACTGCATGCTATATTATCATGGCATTTGATGGCTCACCTGGTCTTGCTCCACAATCGGTGTTCCCCTTATTCTCATGCAAAGCTCTGTAGTGCCTAAGCATGGATGAGGTGTTGTTATATCCCAGCTCCCTGGCACATAGCAAGCACTTCACCTTGTACAAAAGTAAAGACAGCTTAACATAAATTGTATTGCACCATCAGTATTATGAAAATACATCTTCTGTAGACATTTACATACCTTGTTGGGAGGAATAAGATCAAAATGTTCCCACAGGGGAGGACATCCTCCTCTTCTTAGCTGGCTCCATTCTCTCCTGACTTTCTCTCCTCACTCTCATAAACCTCCAAACTGTCTCCAAACTCTCACTAACCGCAGCTCTCCATCAAACACCCACATTTTGAATGAAGTCTGAGGGGTTTATATCGCTGTCATATTTCGCGGCAAAGTTCGAGCCACTTCATGAACCAGTCACGTGGTACAGCCGGGCAGCGAGGCTTCGGACGTCATCATTTTCATCTTCTCCCATAAATGAGGCAAGCCTCGATACGCGCATCGCTCAAACGCCCCCTCAATTACTCGACACAAGCTTTGAAGCCTCGATACAGAACGTCACATCACTAGTAAACTCAGAGAATAAACGAAGAAAAGCAACGATCTTCAAGCTCTGGTCTTCTGATTTTCTGCAAGCATGCCTGGTAAGTTATTTTAGCACTAATATCCTGCAGTCAAAACAACCATGTGCATTTTGATAAGTCTAATAAATAATCAAAGGAAACGAAACTTGGTTGGTGCTTTAAGACTATTGCGATGAAATCATAATCACAGAAATGTTGGACCAGACCAAGCAAGTAACCTGCTGGCGCTTTTGATTTTGATACATGACTCATCATTTTAACATGTCAGCCAGAGTTACATACATTTGCCTTAAATACATTTGATTTTAATGACCTTTTGTAGCTTTTTATAACTAAACGAAAACAAAACCAAATTAGCTCTGTTTTTGTCATTTCATCTACAAGGCCGCAGTGAACGCAGGAAAAAAGAAATCAAAACTGAAACCAAAGATAACAAAGCTTCATGACACAACATTGCATTATATTTCAGGAACCTCTAGATGGAGCCAAAACCAAACATTAGTAGAGCAGACATATTTCTCACTGTCTTCAAGACCCATTTTCACCTGCTTTTTACCTCTGTGGAAATTGAAGAGAGTTTATAAATATTAGAGTAATGCATGACATTGAAACGTACAGATATTTAGTCCTGAAAATAAATGTACACATACATAGGCCATCTCATGCATACATTTTCCATGAGTTACAGTTTGGAATAAATTCATAGACAATTGCACAACTGACATAAATGTAGCTCTAGAATGTCTAAAGAGGTAGTTTTCTTGTGAAGTTAGTGTGATAAACATGAGATCATATGAACATGAATGATGGTCAGATTTTTTTTTATGTATCTAACAAAATACAGTTTTGATTTTGGAGCTTGTGATCATGGTTTGACAAACAAACTGCAATTTATCTCTTCTAGAACACCCAGGAATCCCGCAGCTCCCCACTGAAGTCAGGGAAAGCTTCTCCAAGGATGCATGGATCAAATTAACAGGCCCTGCAGCTGGACAACTGATGGAAGCTTTATGTCAAAGTGCAGCAGGTTTGCAGGAAAATATGAGCGTTAAAGTGGTAACACCACTGGAAGAAGATGCAGCACAGAAAGACGATGTGACAGGTATCCTGAACGAAACTGATAAACCCAGCATATCTGTGTCGTTTTGTCAAATTTATTCTTTGCAAAGCATGACTTTATTCCTCGTATAACTTTAAAAAAAAATTGATTTAAGAAATATGAATAAACCGCTCTATCAAAACAGAATTATCTAATGTGTTATTTTCACTTGTTTTACCTTTTTAGTGCCACCAACAATAATGGTCATGGAAGGAAAAGCAGCTGGGGCTCAAAAGTACATCAAAGGTAACAACTTATTTGAGAACACTTTAGTTTGAATCAGTTGCGTTCTCTGAGGAAAACATTATCACAGACTGCTCTCCTGGTCCTGTTTTTTTCTTTTTGGTAAATACATTTGAAGAGAGAGCGTGTGGAAATGTCTATTTCATTCAATCCTTGATTTCTTCCTGTTTTCTTCTTTCCTTTGTCGGTTTACACTGGACACAGTCACATCTTTTCTAGCACAAACCTTTAAACAGTTATTATCTAATGAATGATGGCTGAACAACAGACACACTTATGCGTATTTTTCTTATTTAATCTTTGAGCTTAATATTACAACATATGAGTACTCAAATGCTCCTATTAATTTTCTGTTTTCACTTCTTTCCAGTGGAAAAATTGTACAGGATTGTCCTACTGGGAAACACTGAAGCTGTAAAAAGTAGCCTAGCAAACGCCATATTTGGAGAAGACGTGTTTAGGGTTGACAACACTGAATGTCAAACTGAGTCCAAATCTGTCCATGGAAGAAGGATTACCCTGATCAACACTCCTGATTTACTTTGCACAAATAGATCAGAAGAGGAGCTGAAGCCTGAAATACTGAGGTGTGTCACTGGGTGCACTCCAGAGCCTCATGCTTTTCTCATCATGCTCAAAGTGGAGAAATCCACAGAGCAGCAGCAACAGAAGGCTGTTATTGAGAAAATAAGCCAGTATTTCTCAGAGGAGGTTTTCAAATATGCTACAGTTGTCTTTATTCAGGATGGACGAGACTCAGATGAAATGAAGATGAAAGACTTAATAGATCAGAATAAATATCTGAGTGATCTAATGAGGAAGTGCAAGAGCCGATACCACATCATTAATAAATACATCCGACAGGGTGACACCAGCCAGTCCCAGGTTACAGAGCTGCTCAACACAGTAGATCAGATAGTTAAACTAAACAAAGGAGTGTGCTACACTAACAAGATATCGCACCAAGGAGGCACCTGCAGTAACAACAGTGTCTCTAAGAATGACACGATCAAACTTACAGGCCCTGCATCAGAATCAGTGGCAAAGGCTTTCTCTGGGTCAACTGTTGTAGTTTTAACTCCCGGATCAGATGTAGAAGAGGAAATAGAAGAAGACAATAAAAAAGAAGATAAAGAAAAAGAAGAATTAGATGAAGTAGAAGAAGTAGAAGAAGAAGTAGAAGAAGATAATGAGGATGAAGAAACAGAAAAGCAACCTAAAGAAGAAGAAGAATATAAAAAAGATGAAAAAACAAACAAGCCCCATAGTAAAGAAAGAGGACAATCATCCGGGAGCGGCGGATTTCGGAGCATTCTGGGTGCTGTGTTTGGGTTCTGTTTAGGGTTGGGAACAACCGCATTAGGGTCTATACTAGCCACATTAGGGTCTATACTAGCCACATTAGGATTTATACCAGCCACATTAGGGTCTATACGAGCCACATTAGGGTGTATATCAAGAGCAGTGATAATAGGAGTTACAGCAATATTAGGAACATGGGCAATGCTAAAAGTAAGAAAATTAGTAAATTGGGCATATGATATTATATGCAGAGTTTTAGCATGGATTAAAAAAATGAATCAACTTTTGCAAGACCTGTGTCAAAATCGAGGAGTGAATCTACTGGTGTTTGTGTTCTACTCCTTGCTTCTTTCATGGCTTTTTCTTAAAGGGCCCTTTGCTGGGACACTCATCTTAACACAGTTTCTGTTTCTTGTCACCATTCTTGCCATCATAGAATTTTAGCACAGTTTATGTGTGTGCCCTTTTTAATTTAGAGAACAGCATCACACACGGCTTAAGAAGAAGCACTTGTTTGCCAAAGCAGTTCACTCTGTGGTGCAGTATTTACTTTTAAGTAAATGGTATTGGATTTAGTATATATTCATTTTGTTTTCTTTTTCCTTTTAAATATACATTAAGAAATTTGCACAGCAATAAGAATCAGATAGGCATAGCATGACAGAAGTTTGCTTTGATACACAACGATTACATCGGAGTAATCAATAATAGCTTTTAATTTGTAAATAACATTACACAAATAACTTGAGCTTATTAATATCATACTATAATGCATTTCCTGTGTACATACGTGTTTATTTACCAGATCTAAGTGTATCTAACAGAAGCAAAATATAGTCTATCTGCATTACTTGTACCTGCATGATGAATAAAGTTTATGTATCAGAAAATGCTAAAACATCTTGTCATTAGCAAATTCTAAATATATATTCAATAAAACCTCAGATGAACAACATATGACTGAATGTGAGAATCAAGTGCAGACTTTCAGTTTTAATTCAGCTTAGATTTTAAATGTAGATTTAACTGTTCTGCTGGTTTAGACAATTTTATACACAGAATCTAATTTCCAGATGTTTAAAAGTAAAGTTTTGAGTAATTCTCCCACTTCTAGATGCAATGACTAATCGAAACAAGGAAGAGGGAAAAAAAACAGGGTGTGTGAATTATAAAGTCATCAGGAAATATGTTGGACAGAAGTCAGAATGTTTGAAATACCTGTGAGCCAGTTTGCATGCTTGCCAACAATTGTGTTTTTTCTTGCTGTGGCAGTTCTAATAATTTGAATAACTATAATTAGGTCTATAATTTGTTGGAAAACAATACATTTTTGTCTAAGTGCACCACCACAGTTGCTTTTCCAATACACAATTGAAGTGCAGACTTTCCAATTTAATTCAACAGGTTTGAATTTATTGTTATTAACTATTTAGCAATTACACCGTTTCTTAAACACAATGCCCCTTCGCATGGCAACAGCACTGCTGAGCACTGAAACATTATTTTCTATGGCTTGAGCTGTGCAATTATGGTTTCCTACTGCATTGAGCAAAGCAAAGCACAGCACAGCAAAAGCACATTTGCTGGAAAGCAATCACATATTCTGTGGTGTGATATAAATTAGAAACACAGGGAGTGAGTACATATAGTACACATAAAGACCATGCATTGCTGCAAACAATGAGGCAGTGCAGGCAAGAAGCAGCAGCCGGCTCAGTACAAATTTGGGGCCTTTCACTCAACCTAGTGATCAATGCAGCACTTTCTCAGTGAAAAGGCAAACAGTCCAGCATGAAAACTAACATAATTTTAGATAGAAGGACTGTCTATAAAACTTGGATGAGGCAGCCAGGGGCCAGCTGAAATCTAGAAACCATGGACATCACCAAATGCTGTTCTTTATCTTGTGATGCTTTGTCAGATCTTTACTGCAAACACCTTCAGTTGCTGCTTGTTCTCCCCTGTACTTAATAACTGAACAACAACCACTCTCCGGGAGTATACAGGAGCAACTGCTTCCAGGTAGAGGAACTACTCAAAACAAGGAAGGAGGAAAAAAAAAAAACAGGGTGTGAATTAGATGGCCATCAGGATAGAATGATTGTAATACTTGTGAGCAAGTTTACATGCTTGCTAACAGGTGTGTTTAAGTAGCTTTTCTTGCTGTGGCAGTAGCTGTTCTAATAATTATGAAGCTGCAGCAGAAAAAGCAAAAACAATAACAGCAACAAGTATAAAGGTATTTGACAAAGCAAGAGCTGTCATGTGATGTCTGGGGCAGCAGTCGTGTGGTGTATTGAGAAGAAGGATCCAAAATGCAGGTACTGGCTGGGGTGCGAGTGACTGTTTATTCACAGGAATGACAAAGTGGCAAAAACAGGAAGAGCAGAGTGGGGAGTAAACAAACCTAAACTTGGGAAAACTAAGGAACTAACCTGAAACCAAACACAAATGCGAGAAGAAGCAAAATGCACAAAGAATGTTGGCAGAGAGATGCATGAATACCAGTTAACACAGAGTAAAGCAGACAACACGACGAGGAGCACAGGCAGACACACACTAGAAATACACACAAGGTAATCAGGAAATGGCAAACGGGAGGGGACACAGCTGGAACTAATGGGCATAACGAGAAACAAACCTACAAAGTAAAACAAACAACTCACAGACTTTTTTACAACACAAACTCGAGGACACGGACAGAGCACAGAGGAAAAACACAGGTAGGGATGATAAAATACTAAACACCAAAACCAACCCTAAGAATCAATACAAAATCAGAATTAACCCAAAACACAAGATGAACCCAAAAGGAAACACCTCTAACTAGTAGTTACAGTTACTTTCATACATAAGGGTGCTTCACATGACTGCAGTGCCACTCAGCTCTAAAATACATTATTTTCTATGGCTTGGGCCTTTTTATTTTGTGCCATCCACTCAACCTAGTCATCAACACAACGCATACTGCTTGCTCTGTGAAAGGGCAAAAAGTCTGACTATTAATAATACTGGCGGAAAGTCTAGAAACCACAGGCGCCACTGCAAACACTTTCATTTGCTGCTTGTTCTGGATTGTATTTAATACCTGAACAATAATCACTCTCCGTGAGTAAACAGGAGTAGCTCATCAAAACAAAGAAGAAGGAAAAAACAAAATGCAAAAGAAGTATTATAGTCAGCTGGGAAAATACCAAAGATATAGATAGTCAAGTTTAGGTTTTTGAGATTCTTGAGATCAAGGTTGGATGCGAGTGTATAATGTTTAATGACCTTTCCCATACGGAAAAGAAATAGTAAAAACTTATATGTGATTACTCATGAAAGTGGCCACTTTCATGAGTAAATCATATAAGGCTTACATGATTTACT